CCAATTTTTTGATTTCTCGATTTACCGATATTTCGATTTTCCGATTTTTCGATTCTTTAATTTTTCGAATTGGCAATTTTTGAATTTTTAAATTTTAAACTTTTCGATTTTCGATTTCTCCGTTTTCTGATTTTTCAGCTCTTCGATTTTTCGTTTTTTTAAATTTAATTTCACATTTTTCAATTTTATGATTTTTTAAATTTAACACTTCAATTTTTCGGTGTTTCTAATTTTCTATTTTTCGATTTTTTAAGTCCTCGATAGCTCAAATTTTCAAATCAATTTTTGGAATTTTTCCGTTTCTAGATTTTTTCAATTTTTAGATATTTTAATTTTAGATTTTTAGGTTTGATTTCTCGACTTCTCGACTTTTTGATTGCCCGATTTCTCGAGCTTTTGATGTTTTTCGACTTTTCGTGTTTCTGGATTTCTGCTTTTTCTGACTTTTCGAATTTTGCATTTTTGGACTTCTTGGTGTACCTAAAATTTTAAGTTTTCTCGATTTTTCAAGTTTTGGATTTCTCAACTTTACAACACTTCAATTTTGGGAAGTTTTCCTTTTCTAGATTATTCAATCTTTCAATATTTTCATTTTAGATTTTTCAGGTTGTTGATTTTTCGATTCCTCTCAGTTTTTGGATTTTTCCATGCTTCGATTTTTTGAATTCTCGGTTTTTCGATTTTTTTGGCTTTCCGATTCTTTAATTTTTCGATTTTCCGAAATCTCGCTGTCGACTCTTTGATCTTTCGGTTTTTGGATTTTTGTTTTTTAGATTTTCAAATTTTAGGTTTTCAGATTTCTCGGATTTTCATCTTTACTTACCGCGCACAAGCTAAGTAAGTATAATAATCGAGTCCATCGGACGAATGGCCACCTTTATATTTTCTCGACGTTTCATAACCCTACAGTCCGAAAAATCTAGTCTCCCGTTTCCGTCTGTCTGTCTGTCTGTCTGTCTGTCTGGTGTCTGTATCCATTTTTATTGGACACAGACACCAGAGAAATCTAACTCAATTTTTCAATATTTTAATTTTGGGCTTTCTCAATTTTTCTCCTCTTCAATTTTACGTTTTTTAAATATTTAGATTTTTCAATTTTTCATAATTTTGACGCTAATAATTTTTTAGTTTTTCAAGTTTTCAATTTTTCAGTTTTTTGATTTCTTAAGTTTTCGATTTTTCGAAATTGCATTTTTGCTTTTTCGATTTATAAATTTTTCACTTTTTTAATTCCTCAATTTTTGGATTTCTTTCAATTCTAGGACTTCTGAATTTTTCTTGTATTTTTCAATTTTTCAATATTTCCACTGGGATTTTTCAGTACTTTGATTTTTCAATTTTTTTATTTCTAGATTTTTTAATTCCTCGATTTAGTGCATTTAGAATTTTCAATTTTTCGTTTTTTATACTTTAGATTTTTCAATTTTTCGACTGTTTTATTCTTCGATTTTACAATTTTTCAACTCTTCGATATTTTAATTATTCAACTTTTAAAATTCTGGACTTTCCGTTTTCTCGAGCTTTCAGTTCTTCTACATTTCAATTTTTCAATTTTCCGAATTTTTAAATTTTCGGTTTTTTAATTTTTGACAATTCGATGTTTTGGTTGTTCAATTTCTCAATTCTTCAATTTTAACTTTGCTTTTTTTCGATTTTGGCTGATTTTGGTTCGACTTCTCAGCTTTTCGACTTCTCTAGTTCTCGATCCATTGATTTTTCAATTTCTCGATGATTCAGTTTTTGAATTTTTCGATATTTCGATTGTTGAATTATCCAATTTTTCAATTTTTCAATATTTTAAATTTTGGAGTTTCAATTTCTTGATTTTTCGATTTTTCAGTTTTAGGTATATATCCGAATTTGTTACGAGCGTTCAAATAAAAACGACGTCAAGTTGGCTTTGGAAATGTGAACGAATCATTCACTAAACGCTAGATTCACATTTACAAAGCCAGCTTGATATCGTTTTTATTTGAACACCCGTTATTTTTTTAATGTTTGGATTTTTTAAATATCACATTTCTGGATTTCTCTTTCTTTTGATATTAAAATTTTTCGATGTTTCAGTTTTTCCCTTTTTTAAATTTTACATTTTTTGCTTTTCAATTTTTCAATTTTACGATTCCGTAATTTTTTAATTCTTCAATTTTTAGAATTTTCGATTTTTGAGCTTCTTGGTGTAAAATTTTGCAATTTCTCGATTTTTCATGTTTCCAATTTCTCAACTCTTCACAATTTTGGGAATTTTTCGTTTTTGGGATTTTTCAACCTTTCGATATTTTAATTTTAAATTTTTCAGTTTGTTGATTTCTCGATTTCTCTAACTTTTGATGTTTCAATTTTCGATTTTTCGGTCTTCGAATTTTTTCAATTTCGATTTTCTAATTTTTATATTTTTCGACTTATCGATTTCTTAATTTTAGAATTTTGGTTTTCGACTTTCGATTTCTCCTTTTTTGTATAATTAATTTCTTTAATTTTTCGAAATCTCGTTTTCGAATTTTTGATTTTTCGGTTTTTCGATTTTTGATTTTTAGATTTTCGATTTTTACGTTTTCTGATTTCTCGGATTTTCGTTTTTTCGATATTCGAGATTTTTCAGTTTATCAATTCTTTGATTTTTAAAACTTTCCATATTTCAATTTTTCATTCTTCATTTTTTCGATTTTCCCGTAATTTTTCTATTTTTTGAATTCTGGAGTTTTCGATTTTCGAGTTTTGATTTTTTGAATTTTCGGTTTTTCGATTTTCCAAATTTTACATTGTTCCGTTTTTTGATTTTTCAATTGGTTTCATTTCCGGTTTTTTGACTTCACGAGTTCTCGATTTTCTGATTTTTTGGCTTTCCGGAGATTTTTCAATTTTTCCGATTTTCGAATTTTCTATTTTTCGAATTTAGAATTGTCGACTGAACTGGGATTTCTTGATTTTTCAATTTATTTTTCTATTTTCCGACTTTTCGATTTTTCGAATTTCGGTTTTCGGATTTTTTTTTGGATTTTTCAGTTTCTTAATTTCCCAAGTTTTCGAGTTGTGTTTCGATTTTTCAATTTTTCGATTTTTAAATTTTAGATTTTCCGATTTTTAAGATTTCTCGTTTTTCTGGTTTTTCAAATTTTCTATTTTTAGACTTATTGGTTTAAAATTTTTCTCCTCTTCAACTTTACGTTGTTTAAATATTTAGATTTTCCAATTTTTCACAATTTTGACGCTTACCTATAATTTTTCAGTTTTTCAATTTTTCAGTTTTTTGATTTTTTAAGTTTTCGATTTTTCCAAATTGCTTTTTTGCTTTTTTGATTTATCAATTTTTCACTTTTTTAATTTCTCAATTTTTGGAATTCTTTCAATTCTGGGATTTTCGAATTTTTCTTCTATTTTTCAATTTTTCAATATTTCCACTGGGATTCTTCGATTTTTCGACTTCTAGATTTTTTACTTGTTGGATTTTCAGTTTTTCGTTTTTTAAATTTTAGATTTCTGAATTTTTAAAATTCTAGATTTTTTGATTTCTCGACTTTTCAGTTCTTCTATATTACAGTTTTCCGAATTTTTGATTTTCCAATTTTTCTTTTTTAAAATATTTCACTTTTTCAATCTTTTAATTTCTCAATTTTTAGATATTTCTTCCAGTTTTGGGATTTTTCAATTTTTGGATTCTTCAATTTTTCTTATATTTTTTAATTTTTCGATATTTCAGTTTTGGGATATTTCAGTATTTCGATTCTTCGACTTTTAAATTTTTTGACTTCTGGATTTATAAATTCCTCGATTTTGTACATTTAGAATTTTCAATTTTTCGTTTTTTTATACTTCATATTTTTCAATTTTTCGACTGTTTTATACTACGATTTCTCAATTTTTCAACTCTTCGATATTTTAATTTTTCAACTTTTAAAATTCTGGAATTTTCGTTTTCTCGAGCTTTCAATTCTTCCATATTTCAATTTTTTTAATTTTTGAGGTCTCGATTTATCGAGATTTGGGCAATTCGATGTTTTGGTTGTTTAATTTCTCAATTTTTCAATTTTAACTTTTCGATTTTTCGATTTTGGCTGATTTCGGGGTCTCAGTTTTTCGACTTCCCAACTTTTCGACTTCTCTAGTTCTCGATCCGTTGATTTTTTAATTTCTCGATGACTCAGTTTTTGAATTTTTCGAAGAATCGATTGTTCAATTATCCGATTTTTCAATTTTTCACTATTTCGATTCTTCGATTTTAAATTTTTTGACTTCTGGATTTTTAAATTCCTCGAATTTGTACATTCAGAATTTTCAAATTTTTGTTTTTTTATACTTTATGTTTTTCAATTTTTCAACTGTTTTATACTTCGATTTCTCAATTTTTCAACTCTTCGATATTTTAATTTTTCAACTTTTAAAATTCTGGATTTTTCGGTTTTTCGAGCTTTCAATTCTTCTATATTTCAATTTTTTTATTTTTGATGTATCGATTTATCGAGATTCGGACAATTCGATTTTTTGGTTGTTTAATTTCTCAATTTTTCAATTTTAACTTTTCGATTTTGGCTGATTTCGGTTTCTCAGTTTTTCGACTTCTCAACTTTTCGACTTCTCTAGTTCTCGATCCTCTTATTTTTCGATTTCTCGATGTCTCAGTTTTTGGATTTTTCGATGTTTCAATTTTTTACTTATCCGCTTTCCGATTTTTCGATTGTCCAATTTTTAGATGTGACGGATTTTCAGTTCTTCAACATTTCTATTTATCATTTCTTCGTTTTTTGGATTATTCAATTACGCCGTTTTACGATTTTTTTTTTGGATTTCTTATCATCTTGGTTTTTCGATTTTAAAAATTTTTCGACTTTCCGATTTTTGAATTTCTCGATTTTTCAAGTTTTCGAATTCTCATTTTTTTTAACATTATCAGTTTTCGGAGCTTTTCAATTTCTGTTTTTTGAAAGTAGAACCAGTTTTCCAATTTGGACGCCTCCAAACCAAGATCCCTCCTTTCACTCCTCCAAAACAACTGCCCAAAAACTAATTCGCTGTCATTCGTTACGTCATGCTCCAAGTGAACACATTAAATTCCAAGTAAAATTCTAAAACTTTTGACAATGGCGAACCTCCAAAGCGTCAGCAACCACACCTACTACTCCAACACAAAGGTGAGCCCCCAAACGTCCCCCCAGCTAACTCCCATTCAGTCCCACCTCAGCACCGACACGGAGACGGCGTTTCCGACCCTCCAGGTTATCCTGGAGGAGAAAAACCGGGTGATCGACAAGCTCAAAAAGCAAGTGCACAATCAGAGGATCCAGCTCGAGTTCTACATAAAGAAGGAAATGAACAGCCCTCTCATGGTCGAGTTCGCCAAAACGGTGAGCCCAAATCGCAAATGGAAATCCTCTAAAGCGTTATTGTAGTGTCTGCCCGAGCTCACGGACGATAACATGACGGTGGCGCTGGCCATGAACAAGTTCTACAGGGAGTTGGGGATGAAAAGTCGGATGATGGACCTGTACGACCGCATTTGTAGTATCGCTGGGCGCACGAATTGTATAATCCAGACGCAGGAGGTTATTTTGAACGAGATTATTAGCAATATGAGGGACTATATGAACCCGAGCGAGTTTAAGAAGTTCTTGGGGAATTTCGATATTAACACGAATTATATAGAGGTGTTTAATAGTTTGTTGGATACTACGTTGAGCTTGAAGAGGTCGATGAATAGTTTTCGGAATTGTTGCGACAGGCTGGTTAATACTGAAGAGAAGAGAAACGAAATAGGTGATAATTTTTGCTTTCCGAGTGTAAAGTACGAAAAAGTAGTCACCCGTTTCCGTTTGACTGTCTGTCTGTCTGGTGTCTGTCCAGATTTTTATTAGACAGATAATATAAGCAACTAGTGGACCGATTGATACGTGTATTAGGATTATCATATCAATGGTAAAATGCTAACCAAATTTGGCTAGTCGTCGCCACCAATAATAGGATAACATCATCTCCAAAGTTAGTAAATGTTATTTAAATTTTATGAAGTAAGATACTCCTGCACTTATGAATCCGTGTTGAGTTTTTCCAGATTTTTGTAAAAACATATTAAAATTGTACAATTTTTCAAAATTTTCAAATTTTCGAATTTTCACTGTCTCGATTTCTGGATTTTAGGGTTTTCCAATTATTTATTTTTAAATTTTCTGATGTTTCAATTAGTCGATTTTATAATTTGTCAAATTTTCGATTTCTCGCTTTTTTTATTTTCCGATTCTTCAATTTTTCAAGTTTTCAATTTTAAAATTTCGATATTTGGATTTTCCCATTTCTCGATTTCCCGATTTTTCGATGTTTCAGTTTATCAAGTTTTTGATTCAGATTTTCATTTCTTCAATTTTTCGATTGTTCAGATTTCTGGTTTTTCAATTTTTCGATTTTTCGACTTTTCGAATTCTCGATTTCTCAGTTTATCAATATCTCGGCTTTTCGGTGGTGCAATTTTGGGATTTTTTAATTTTTTGATTTATCGCTGGATTAATTTTTCAATATTTGAGTTTTAGGATTTTTCAGTTTTTCGATTCTTGATTTTTTTGATTTCTTAAATTTGAGATTTTTTCCATTTCTCGTTTTTTATTTTTCAGTTTGTTGACTTTCCGTTTTTTTAAATTTCACATTTTTCAGTTTTTGTTTTTTATGATTTTTTTAACATTTCCATTTTTCTATTTTTCGAATTTTTCATTTTTCGATGTCTCGATTTTTCAATTTTAGAATTTTCGATTTTTCGACTTTCAATACTTGCTTTCATATTTCGATTCTTGGATTTTTCGATTTTGGAAAATTCGCTTTCGACTTTTTGATCTTTCGGTTTTCCGATTTGTGTTTTTTTTGATTTTCAAATTTTAGGTTTCACTGATTTCTCGGATTTTCGTCTTTTTAAATATTTTATTCATCGAATTTTCGATTTTTCTGTATTCGAATTTTTTCGATGTCGATTTTTTAATTTTTCCAATTCCCGTTTACGAATTTTTGATGTTTTTTTTTCGATTCTTCAATTTTTAGATTTTTTAAATTTTAGATTTTCAAAAAGGAGAAACCTTGAAAACTGATTTCTGCTTTTGCTGATTTTGTTCGATTTTAGAACTTTTTGCGTCTTTAAATTTCACATTTTTCAAATTTCCCATTTTTGGACTTCGATTTTGCAATTTTTCAATTCTTAGTTTTTTTAAATTTTCGACTATTAGATTATCCCATTTCTTCTTTTTCTGATTTTTCTTCAATTTTTGGAAATTTTCCATTTCTGAATTTTTATAGACTTCGATTTCTCGATCTTTGATGTTTCGATTACTTGATATTTCTACTTTCCATTTTTGAATGTTTCAGTTTTTTAATTTTTCCATGTTCGATTTCTCGATGTCTCGGTTTCTCGAATTTTTGGCTTTCCAGTTTTTCTATTTTTCAAATGTTCGATTTTTCGGTATTCGAATTTTTTCAATTTCGATTTAACGATTTTCTAATTTTTCCATTTCTTGATTATAGAATGTTAGAATTTTCGACTTTCGTTATTTCGTTTTTTTGTATATTTAATTCGTTTGATTTTTCGAAATCTCGTTTTCGAATTTTTCATTTTTCGGTTTTTCAATTTTGGTTTTTAGATTTTCGATTTTTACTCTTCCTGATTTCTCGGAATTTCGTTTTTGCGAAATTCGAATTTTCAATTTGTTTCCTTTTTGATTTCTAGATTTTTCAATTTTTCGATTCTTTGATTTTTAAAATCTTCCATTTTCCAATTTTTCCATTCTTAATTTTCTCCATTTTCAGTTATTTTCCTTTTCAATTTTTTGATTTCTCGAGTTTTCGATTTTCAATACTTGAATTTTCAATCTCCCTAGTTTTCGATAAAATTCGAATTTTGATTCTTCGAATTTTCGATTTTTCACTTTTTACATTTTTCAGTTTCTTGGTTTTTCGATTCCTTTCATTTTTGGTTTTCTGACTTTCCTCAAGATTTTTCTATTTTTTAGATTTTCAAATTTTTGAATTTCAAATTTTCGATTTTCGCTCTTCGAATTTTTCGATTTCGATTTCAGAATTTTCTAATTTTTATATTTTTCGACTTTTCGATTTCTTGAATTCAGATTGTTTGATTTTTGGACTTTCGATATTTCGTTTTTGGTATATTTAGTTTCTTTGATTTTTTGAAATTTCGTTTTCGAATTTTTGATTTTTCAGTTTTTCGAATTTTGATTTTTAGATTTTCGATTTTTACGTTTCCTGATTTCTCGGAATTTCGTTTTAGCGATATTCGAATTTTCAATTTCTTTCCTTTTCGACTTCTAGGTTTTTCAGTTTTTAAATTCTTTGATTTTTAATCTACTATTTTTCAATTTTTTCATTCTTAATTTTTTCGATTTTCAATTATTTTCCCTTTCGAATTTTTGATTTCTTGAGTTTCCGGTTTTCGATACTTGAATTTTCAATCCTTCTAGTTTTCGATATTATTCCATTTTTGATTTTTCGAATTTTCGATTTTTCAATTTTTACTTGCATTCTTCAATTTTTTGATTTTTCAATTTGTTTCAATTTCGGTTTTTTGATTTCACGAGTTCTCGGTTTTCCGATTTTTTGACTTTCCGGAAGATTTTTCAACTTCTCCGATTTTAGAATTTTCTATTTTTTGGATTTCGATTTCTTGATTTTTCAATTTCTCCATTTTCCGACTTTTCAATTTTTCGAATTTTCGATTTTTGGATTTTTCAACTCCTTAATTTCTCAAATTTTCGACTTTTTTACGATTTTTTTAAATTTAGATTTTCCGATTTTTAAGAATTTTCCTTTTTTTGGTTTTAAGTAGTTCCATTTTCCAATTTTTCCAGTTTTTTAAATTTCAAATTTTTGGATGATCTATTTTTCGATTTTTCGAATTTTCTATTATTTGACTTATTGGTTTAAAATTTTTCATTTCTCAATTTTTCAAGTTTTCGATTTCTCAAAATTTCAACACTCAATTTTGGTTAATTTTTTCTGGATTTTTCAATTTTTCGATAGTTTAATTTTAGATTTTTCGGTTTGTCGATTTTCCTATATCTCGATCTTTTGATGTTCGATTTCTCGATGTTACAATTTTTCAGTTTTTCAATGTTTTGATTTCGCGATTTCTCGATTTTTCGACTTCTCGTCTTTCCGATTTCTCAGATTTTTTATTTTCGAAATTTCGTTTTCAAATTTTTGAGTTTTCGGTTTTTTGATATTTGATTATTTGATTTTCGAATTTTAGGTTTTCTGATTTCTAGGATTTTCGTTTTTTGATATTCGAATTGTCAATTTGTGTCTTTTTCGACTTCCAAATTTTTCAATTTTTCAGTTTTACAATTTTTAAAATTTTTCAATTTTTCTATTCTTCAGGTTTTCGATTTTCCATTATTTTCCTTTACGATTTTTTGATTTTTCTTTTTTTCGATTTTCGGTACCTGAATTTTCAAACTTACTACTTTTCGATTTCTCGATTTTTTTAATTTTCCATTTTTGAACTTATTGGTTTAAAATTTTTGGGTTTCTCAATTTTTCAGGTTTTCGAATTTTCAACTTTTAAACACTTCAATTTTGTGAATTTTTCTTTTTCTAGATTTTTCAATCTTTTGATATTTTAATTTTAAATTTTTCGGTTTGTCGATTTTTCGATTCTCGATCTTTTGATGTTTCGATTTCTCGATGTTTCATTTTCTCGATTCATTTATCGATTTTTCGGCTTTTCGATTTTTCCATTTTTCGAATTTTCTATTTTTTGTTATTCATTTTTTTTTTTTTCAATTTCAGTTACTACTGGATTTTACAATTTTTCCAGTTTCGATTTTTCGATTTGTCGATTTTAGTATCTTCGATTTTTCGACTTTCGATATTTCGTTTTTTCCATACTTTAATTCTGGGATTTTCCAATTTTTCGAAATCTCATTTTCGAATTCTTGAATTTTCGATTTTTGAATTTTCGACTACTAAATTTTTCAATTTGTTAATTCTTTGATTTTTTAAATTTTCTTCAGTTTTTCAATTTTTTTATTTCTCGAGTTTTCTGTGTTCGATACCTGAATTTCCGAACCCTCTAGTTTTCGATTTTTTGGTTTTACAATTTCTCAATTTTTTTATATGTATTTCAATTTTTCGATTGTTTGAATTTTCCATTTTTGAATTTAATGGTGTAGAATTTTTGGATTTTTAATTTTAGATTTTTCGGTTTGTGGATTTCTCGATGATTCAAGTTTTCAGTTTTTCGATGTTCCAATTTCTCGGTTTTTCGACTTTTCGGCTTTTCGATTTTTCCATTTTTCGATTTTCCAAGTTTTCCATTTTCGACTTTTCGATTTCTCGATTTTAGAATTTTCAACTTTTCGAATTTCGATATTTCGATTTTTGATTTTTTGATATTCGAATTTTCGACGTTTCCTTTTCGACTACTACATTGCACAATTTTGTAATTCTTTGCTTTTCTAAATTTGCTTCAGTTTTTCGATTTTTTGATTTCTCGAATTCTCAATCTTTCAAGTTTTTGATGTTTCCATTTTTGGTTTTTCGAATTTTCCATATTTTGATTCTTTGATTTAACAATTTTTCGAAATCTCATTTTCAAATTTCTGATTTTTTGGTTTTTTAGTTTTCGATTTTCTGATATTCGAATTTTGGGTTTTCTGTTTTCTCAGAGTTTCGTTGTTTCGATATTCAAAATTTCAATTTGTTTCCTTTTCGACTTATTATAGATTTTCCTATTTTTCAATTCTCTAATTTTTTAAATTTCCATCAGTTTTTCGATTTTCCATTATGTATTTTGATTCTTGATTTTTCGATATTTGCATTTTCAAGTTCTTTCTTGTTCGACTACTAGATTTTTCGATTTAATTCTTTGATTTTTTTAATTTTCTTCAGTTTTTCAGTTTTTGATTTCTCGAGTTTTCGGTTTTCGATACCTGAATTTCCAACTTTCGAGTTTTCGATTTTTCTATTTTACGTTTTCTCAATTTTTTAATATGTATTCAACTTTTCGATATTTTGAATTTTCCATTTTCGGAGTTATTGGTGTAAAATTTTTGGGTTTCTCAATTTTTCAAGTTTTCGAATTCTCAACTTTCCAACATTTCAATTTTGGGAATTTTTCTTTTTCTAGATTTTTCAATTTTTTTATATTTTAATTTTAGATTTTTCGGTTTGTCGATCTCTCGATGTTTCAAGTTTTCAATTTTTGGATGTCCCAATTTCTCGGTTTATTGATTTTTCGGTTTTCGATTTTTCTATTTTTCGATATTCGATTTTTTTTCAGTTTCGATTATTACTCGATTTTCCAATTTTTCCATTTTCGGCTTTTTGATTCCTCGATTTTAGAATTTTCGATTTTTCGACTTACGATATCTCGTTTTTTCTGTATTTTGATTATTGGATTTTCCAATTTTTCGAAATCTCGTTTCCGAATTTTTGAATTCTCTATTTTTGATTTTTCGGTGTTTCTTTTTCGACTACTAGATTGTTCCATTTTTTAATTCTTTGATTTTTTTAATTTTCTTCAGTTGTTCAAATTTTTATTTCTCGAGTTTTCGGTTTCCGAAACTTGAATTCTCAATCTTTCAAGTGTTTGATTTTTCGATTTTTGGTTTTTCGAATTTTCTATATTTTGATTCTTGGATTTAACAATTTTTTAATTATGTATTCAACTTTTCGATTTTTTGAATTTTCCATTTTCGGACTTATTGGTGTAAAATTTTTTAATTTCTCAATTTTTCAAGTTTTCGAATTTTCAACATTTCAATTTTTGGAATTTTTCCTTTTCTAGATTTTTCAATTTTTTGATATTTTAATTTTAGATTTTAGTTGTTCGATTTTTTGATTTCTCGAGTTTTCGGTTTTCGAAACTTGAATTCTCAATCTTTCAAGTTTTTGATTTTTCGAATTTTCCATATTTTGATTCTTGGATTGAACAATTTTTCGAAATCTCATTTTCGAATTTCTGATTTTTTGGTTTTTTGATTTTTGATTTTCTGATATTCGAATTTTGGGTTTTTTGTTTTCTCAGATTTTCCTTTTCGACTTATAGATTTTCCAATTTTTTAATCCTTTCATTTTTTAAATTTTCATCAGTTCTTCGATTTTCCAATATTTTCCTTTTCCATTTTTTGATTTCTTGATTTTTGGTTTTTCGAATTTTCGATTTTTCAATTTTTACATTCTTCACTTTTTCGATTTTTTAAATCCTTTTACTTTTCGTTTTTTTAAATACTCTCAATTTTTCTATACTTCGATTTTCGAACGTTTTACTTTTTTACTTTACTTTATAATTATTCAAAGAAGCTGGATTTTTTGGGCTTTACTTCAAAGGTAAGGGAAGTTCACTCGAAATAGCCTTCCACCAATTTTTCACTTTCGTCTTTATTTAACCAAAACCTCCTCCAGTCGAACAGGTTTACTCCCTCCCCCAAGAAGAACGCACCATCTGCAACTACCTCGTCAACATCCAAATGGAAAAATTCGAGCTCGAGAACATGCTAAAACAGCTCTCCAAGAAGCGCAAACGAATCGAGCCCGTCGTCGACGAGATCGACATAATCGAAAACAACCTCAAACTCCTCTACGAGAACTTCGACAACCTCCACGAGGAGGACGAAGCGGGTACGCTCCCAGCCCCCCAATCCCCACATTAACCGAACCCATTCCAGATTACTGCGTCACGAAAATGCTGGAAAAGGTTTACGCTCAAGCCATGTCGCTCCTGACGCTCTCCCGGGAGCAGCGCGAGAAGTACAACAAAGAAGTCGAGCAGCTGAAGGAGGAGAACGAGAAACTCCGCGAAATTATCCGGCACATCGACAACAGGGCCGGAAGCGGAAAATGTGTGGCGGCCGATTTCAACGACATTGAGAAGCTGCACAACGTGATCAAGAAAACCATCAGCGAAGCGCGCAAATTCGAAAAGTCGAAGAGCGACGAGCTGAAGCAGAAGTCGCAGGAGTGCGAGCAGCTGAAGAAGAAGCTGAGCGAGGTGGTGCTGCAGAAGAGGCAGCTGCAGAGTCTGCTGGATACGGACGAGTCGGAAGCTAACGAGGTAGACATGTTTGATTTTTCGAAATAAAGAATGGTGAGAGGTTTGGTTGTAGTTTTTTTTGGAGCGGGAAGTTGACGGTAGAAAGATTTCATACTATGTGCCAGTTGAAGGTCTGCAAGCCCTGCGTACTCACTCTGTGTAGTGGGTAGGTCGTCAGTGACTTTTTTGTTGTTCGGTTTTGATTTTAGTAACGCACTGAGGATCATTGTTAGATTGCTGAGAATAAAGCCTGTTGTTATTAATCATACGGTTTTTTAATGACTTTATTGAGAATCAGTTCGGAAAAAAGTGGCTAATGTAATGTGGAAGCTAGGGAGATCGATGAGGATAATCAAATTTATAAATGTTTAAATCAAGTTGTAGTGAAGACTATAGAAATTCTAATAATTCTAAACTTTATAAAATTTCTAGTAATTCTAAAGTTTTCAAAATTTCCAAAGATTGAAAAGTCTCTAAGGACTCTGACAACTCTGAGAGACTAAAAAAGAATCTACAGAATCTACAGAGTCCAAAAAATCTAATTTTAGAAATTTTGAAAAATCTGGAAATTCTGGGCATTTTCTATTTTGGAAAATCTAAAAAATCTGATAATTCTAAAAATTTCAAAATTTAGAACGTTTACACAATTTTGAGTTTGTAGAGGTTCTAAAGGTTACGAAGATACCAAAGATTTAAAAGCTTTCAAGGCTTTCAAAGATTCTAAAGACTCGAGAATTTCTAAAGACCTAGAAATTGAGAATTCTAAAGACACTAAAGATTCTAAATAACATAAAGTTCTAATGTTCTAAATATAAGAGGTAGATCCTAGAAATTGTAAAACTTTCAAACTTTATAAAAATCTAGTGATTCTAAAACGTCCAAAATTTCCAAAAATTCGAGGAACTGTAAGAACCCTGGATTCTAAAGACTTTAAAGGCTTTAAAGAGTCTAAGGACTCTAATAAATACTTAAAAGTTAAAAGGAGTTTTAAAATCTGTATTTTCAAGAATCCAACTACTCTAAACTAATATTTTATAAATCTTAGACTTTGTAAAAATTCCAGATTCCAAAAATTTAGGAAAAATTGGAAAATTTTAGAAAGTGGGAAAAATGTGGTAGACTTGGATATCTTGAAAATTTCGGAAAAGGTTAAAATTCGAAATTCTGGAGACAGATAATTTTAGAAATTTTGTAAAATCTAGAAATTCTGGGCATTTTGTGCTTTTGGAAAATCAGAAAAGTCTAAAAAAACAAAAAAATATAATTTGCAATTTTTCATTTTTTCAATGTTCGAACCTTTGAACTGAATTTTTCAATTTTTACATTTTTAAATTTTTCGATTTCAAATTTCTCCAATTTCGAATTTTGAAATTTTTAAATTTTTCGATTCTTTAATTTTTTTATTTCTTCAAATATTCGATTTTGCAATTTTTCGTTTCCGTTTTTATCTTTACAGTTTTTAGATTTTTCAAGGTTCCGATTTTATAATTTTTTGTTTTTTCTATTGTTTTTCTTAAATTTTGTGACAGCAATTCTTTGAGCTTTATTTTTAAATTTTTCAGTTTTTCGATTCGCAGTTTCACGAGTTTCCAATTTGTTCTTTTTCGATTTTTCAATTTTTCATGCCTGCAATTTTTCAGTTTAGAATTTTTCGTTTCGGTTGTTTGCTTTTTTTAGTTTTTCAAATCTTCGGCTTTTCAATTCTCTGATTTTATAATTTCTTTATTCAATGCGAAACGTTTCAGTTTTTCGATTTTTTAATTTCTCGATTTGCAATTTTTCGACTTTTCAACTGATAGATTTGTTAATTTATCGTCTTTAGATTTTTCAGTTTCATGATTTTTCGATTTTTCGGTTTTTTTTTGTTCCTTCAGTTATCCGATTAGCAATTTTTCGAGTTTTTCAGTTTTTAGATTTTACAAATTTTCGGTTTGAGTCTCTCGAGTTTTCAATTTTTAATTTTTGTTTTCCGATTTTTTTTATTTATTTTTTACAATTTTTCTATTTTTCAATGTGACATATTCCAATTTTTACATTTTTCAATTTATCGATTTGCAGTTTGCGAATTTTCAACTGTTAGATTTTTGACTGTACTTTCTTTCAATTTTAGATTTTTCAGTCTCATGATTTTTCAATTTTTCGTTTCATGAATTTTTGATTTCTTGTAATTTTTGTAGTTTTCATTTTAGATATATGTAAGTAATAACAATAATAATTTTAAAAGTTGTCCACTTTTCAATTTTACGATTTTAGAATTTTTCCATTTTTCATTAACTGGATTTTAAAACTTAATTACTTATTTATTCGATTTTTCAATTTTTCCATCTTTCAATAAAACAGTTTCTCGATTTTCAGTGTTTCAATTATATATTTGTTTCTTCAGTTTTTCGATCAGCAAGTTTACACAATCTTGAGTTTGTAGATTTTCTAAAGGTTACGAAGATACCAAAGATTTAAAAGCTTTCAAGGCTTTCAAAGATTCTAAAGACTCGAAAATATCTAAAATTGAGAATTCTAGAGACACTAAAGACTCTAAATAAAATAAAGTTTTAATGTTCTAAATATAAGAAATATCCAACAAAATCTTAAAAATTTTAAAGACCGTGGGGGTAGATCCTAGAAATTGTAAAATTTTTAAACTTTATAAAAATCTAGTAATTCTAAAATGTCCAAAATTTCCAAAAATTGGAGGAACTCTAAGAACTCTGGATTCTAAAGACTTTAAAGGCTTTAGAGAGTCTAAAGACTTGAAAGATTCTGAAGAGTCTAAGGACTCTAATAAATACTCAAAAGTTAAAAGGATTTTTAAAATCTGTTTGAAATATTTCAAAGATTCTAAAGATTGTAGGGAAATGCCAAAATCCATGTATTTTCAAGAATCCAACTACTCTAAACTAATATTTTACAAATCTTAGACTTTGTAAAAATTCCAGATTCCAAAAATTATGGAAAAATTGGAAAATTTTAGAAAGTGGGAAGAATATGGTAGGCTTAGATATCTTGAAAATTTCGGAAAACGTTGAATATTAAAATTCTGGCATAACTGGAACCCGACAATTTTATAAATTATGGAAAATCTCGAAATTTTGGACATTTTGTGTTATTGGAAAATCCGAAAATTCTAAAAATCAAAAATTCTAAAATTTCAAAATTTCAAAAGTTTACACAATCTTAAGATTGTAGAGATTCTAAAGATTACGGAAATTCCAAAGCTTTGAAAGATTTAAACGCTTTCAACGATTCTAAAGACTCGAGACATTCTAAAGGCCTTGGAGATGCCAAATAAACTGAAGTCCTAAGGTTTTAAATAGAATTAAGACCCAACAGAATCATAAAAATTGTAAAGTCCTTGGAGGTACTAATGACCCGAAAAATTCTAAAAATTCTAAACTTTATATAATTTCTAGTAATTCTAAAGCTTCCAAAATTTCCAAAGTTTGAAAAGTCTAGAGGGACTCTGACAACTCTGAGAGACTAAAGAGTCTACAGAGACCAAAGGGTCTAAAGAGTCTAGAGAGTCTACAGTCTAAAAATTCTAATTTTAGAACTTATGAAAAATGTAGAAATTCTGGGCATTTTCTATTTAGGAAAATCTGAAAAATTTGATAATTCTAGAAATTTTGAAAATTTTGCAAATTATGAAAATTTCGAAAATTAAAAAAAATCAAAAATAATGAAATTTCTAAATTTAGAAAGTTTACACAATCTTGAGTTTGTAGAGGTTCTAAAGGTTTCGAAGATACCAAAGATTTAAAAGCTTTCAAGGCTTTCAAAGATTCTAAAGACTCGAGAATTTCTAAAGACCTAGAAATTGAGAATTCTAGAGACACTAAAGACTCTAAACAAAATAAAGTTCTAATGTCCTAAATAAATAAATCCAACAAAATCTTAAAATTTTTAAAGACCCTGGAGGTAGATCCTAGAAATTGTAAAACTTTCACACTTTATAAAAATCTAGTGATTCTAAAACGTCCAAAATTTCCAAAAAATGGAGGAACTCTAAGATCTCTGGATTCTAAAGACTTTAAAGGCTTTAAAGAGTCTAAAGACTTGAAAGATTCTGAAGAGTCTGAGGACTCTAAAAAATACTCGAAAATTAAAAGGATTTTTAAAATTCTGTTTGAAATATTTCAAAGATTCAAAGGTTTTAGAGAAATGCCAACAATCCAGGGATTTTCAAGAATCCAAATGCTCTAAACTAATATTTTATAAATCTTAGACTTTGTAAAAATTCCAGATTACAAAAATTTTGGAAAAATTGGAAAATTTTAGAAAATGTAAAAAATGTGGTAGACTTAGATACCTTGAAAATTTCGGAAAAGGTTGAATATTAAAATTCTGGCATAACTGGAGCCCGACAATTTTAGAAATTTTGGAAAGTCTGGAAATACTGGGCATTTTGTGTTTTTGGAAAATCCGAGATTTCTGAAAATCAAAAATTAAAAAAATTGAAAATTTCGAACGAGCTTGGGGAGATTCTAAAGATTACGAAAATTCCAAAGCTCTTGAAGATGCTAAATAAATTGAAGTCCTAAAATTTTAAATAGAAGATCCAACAGAATCATAAAAATTGTAAAATTCTTGGAGGTACTAATCACCCGAAAAATTCTGAAACGAGTCTAAAGACTGTGAGGACTCTAGACAGACTAAAGAGTCTAAAGGCTCTAAAGATATTAAATACTATTAAGGACCCAAACATTAAAAAGATTTTTAAATTTCTGTTCCAAATAATATGACTCATTTTTTTGTCAGGTTGGTAACCCATTTAAAATTTGATGATGGCCTTTATGTCAAAGTGACATTTATGACAGCTGTCATCGTCTCAACAAATCGGACACTTTTTGGCGTGCTCATGTCAAAATTCATAGCCGCCTAACCTCACGTCAAAAACAACTTAACCTAACATGATAACAATGTCATTTTTCATTAGGGATCTTTGCATAGATGAAATTGGTTGCCAACCAAATTACTAGATTTACATGGCCAACCTTGTCTAAAAACATCCTGAACGGTATATAATTCCGAACAAACTCAAAATTGTTGCATTCACTCCAAATTCCATTATTTCCTTTTCGGTTTTCTGTCCAAATTCCAATTTCTATCAGTTTTTTTTGCTTGTTTGGCCGCCTCAGGGCGTTTTGCGGTTAAAACCCGATTAACTCAAAAAAGCAACGAAACAAAAAATCAAATTGGCTTAAATCGAACGTGACGTTCGAGCACGTCGCACCTAGAATATTGATTCTGGAGGCTCAAAGGGTGCTTCATCAAACGATGCAGTATTTCCAATACATCATTACCATACTCTTTGTTGATGGGTGAGCCGTAATTGATTTTCTTTCATCGTCAATGCGATGGAAAATATTTTGCAGGATTTATGTCGGCCTGGCGAGGGGGAGAGCTCCGACTTCCGCCAATAGAAATATTAAGAGATTGGACGTCGCCAATAACAACTTGTTCGAGATAAAACGGGAAACTTTTAACAACTACCCGGAACTCGAAGAGTTAAATATAATCAACTCGGGAGTCACTTCCATCGCGGATAAAGCTTTTTATGATTTGCCACATCTGAGCCGAGTGAACATGTCGAAGAATTTTATTACCAGCCTGAGCCATAAGATATTCAGACCTCGTAGCAAATTATGGAAATTCGATGTTTCCTCCAACATGCTAAATAATCTTGACACTTTCGACGTAAGTTATTTCCCGGAGCTGGAGCTTGTGGATGTTTCAAACAACCAATTAAGATTTCTTCCGGAGAGTTTCATACGGAAGCTGGAAAGTGGTGGCGGGTTTAGGGTAATCAGTTACAATAATCCCTGGAACTGCCAACACAAGAACTGGAGTCACCTTCTGAGTGAAAATCTGCGAAAGGAATTTTGTGCGGACGAAGCCAGGCTCGATTTGACACAAACACTGGCTTTGAAGCTTCCGCCCCAAGCCAATTTTGTAACTTGCGCTTTGTGGGTGTTTGGGGCGTTCTGGGTCGGCATAATTGCGGGAAATATGTGTCTGATAAAAAAGATCATCTTCCCGGAGAAACCCATCGTGAAAGTAGACCAGAGCACCAACACTCATCATGGTAACGTTTCTTTCCAGCGACATGGCGACTCTAGTTGTGATTTTTAGATTCGCTTTCGTTCATTTATGTTCGTGATGTGATTAAGACGGAGTGTAGGTTGAAACGTCCTGCCACAGATAACGAAATGTTTGTTTAATGTTAGTGTAATGGGATGGCTAGGGTTAATTAAACTTCACACTTGGATTTTTCATCATTGTTCTCAAATATACTGTTGAAGTTTTATGGTAATTTTTTAACAGTTTACAAATTTCAGATTTCTTTTACATGTTCACTAAATTTCTCTTTTTACACATCCAGATTTTTGGTTTAACAACATTTTACAATTTAACTTTGAAACTGCAAAACCGAAAGCTCTGAATCATGGTAAATCGTTAATCAAAATTTAATTGCATATCGCCTCCTAAAAATTGATGACCTCAGCACTTGAAACAAACGCAAACATTATATACATGACTTAATTTTAATTTTTAACTTACAAGGGTTATCATAAAAAAATAAAATTTGCAAAATCAAATGTTATAATTTTTCGAAAAATTAGGACTTATTTTCCTCCGACCAATTTGTTGAAGTATCAATTTTTCGTTTTTTCATTTTCTTTCATTTCTTTAATTTTTCGATTTTCCAATGTTGGGTTTCATAATTTTTCGTTTTTTCAACTTTAATTTTTTAAATTTCTCATCTTCCAAATTTTTCAGTTTTACGTTTCTTCAATTGTTCAATTTGAAGTTTTTCAATTTAAGAATTTTGGGATATTACAATTTTCTATTTTTCAGTTTCTCAATCTTTAATGTTTCGATCTTTCAATTTTTCGTTTCCTCAGTTTTTCAAGTTCTTGATTTTTATTTCTCATTTTCCCGATTTTTTAATTTTCATTTCCTCGATTTTATATCACAGTTTTTGTTTTTTTCCAATTCTTCTATTGTTGCGATGTTTGTTCCCATTTTATAATTTTTTCTTTATCCACTTCCCAAATTTTCAGTCCTTGATTTTTCGATTCTCCGATTTTACGATTTTTGAAAATTTTTAATTTTGAAAATTTTAAAATTGCACTTTTTCGATTTTCAAGATTCTCAATTTTAAGACAACGAAAATCCAAGAAATTAGAACACCCACAATCTAAAAATCAAAAATCGATAAATCGAAAAATGCAAAAATTGGATAATGTCACATTGAAAAATAGAAAAATTTTAAAATCAGAAAAATTGAAAAAACTTAATTAAAAAAATCGGAAAACAAAAATTAAAAACTGAAAAACTCGAAAAATTGCTAATCGGATAACTGAGGGAACTAAAAAAAAAACGAAAAATTGAAAAATCATGAAACTGAAAAATCTAAAGACGATAAATTAACAAATCTATCGGTTGAAAAGTCGAAAAATTGCAAATCGAGCAATTGAAAAATTCAAAAACTGAAACGTTTCGGTTTGAGTAAAAAAAATTATAAAACCAGAGAATTGAAAAGCCGAAGATTTAAAAAAATAAAAAAAAACAAAAAACCGAAATGAAAAATCCCAAATCGAAGAATTGCAAACATGAAAAATTGAAAGATCGAAAAAGAACAAATTGAAAACCCGTGAAACTTCGAATCGAAAAACTGAAAAATTTAAAAATAAAACTCAAAGAATTTCTATCGTAAAATTGAAGAAAAAAAAATAGAGAAAACAAAAAATTATAAAAATTGAAAAATCTAAAAACTGTAAAAATTGAGGAAAAAACCGAAACGAAAAATTGCAAAATCGAAAATTTGAAGAAACAAAAATTAAAGAATCGAAAAATTTAAAAATGTCAAAATTCGAAATTCAAAATTGGAGAAATCGGAAAATTGAAAAACCTAAAAATTGAAAAACCTAAAAATTGAAAAATTCAATTAAAAAATTGAAAAAATAAAAAATTGCAACTTGAAAACTCAAAAAATTAGTAAGGGAAAAACGAAAGGAACAAAAAAAATCAAAAATTTAGGAATTAAAAAATTCAAGTCAAAAAACCATCTTCGTACTTTTTGAAAAATTCAAAACTTCTTTATACACTTTTCGTTTGTGTTTATTTAATGCGTTTAATTTTTTGATATCTTCGTCCGTATACTCGTTACTTGTTACATCTAAATTAAATTGCTTGACTACCCCAAGATCTTTGCAATATTATTTTGTTGGATCTTGTTAGAACTTCAGTTTATTTAGAATCTTTAGAATATATCTCTACAATCTTAAGATTATGTAAACTTCCGAAATTTTGAAATTTTGAAATTTTATAATTTTTTGTTTTTTTAGACTGATTTTCCAAAAACACAAAATGCCCAGAATTTCCAAATTTTCCAAAATTTCTAAAATTATCTGTCTCCAGAATTTTGAGCTTTAACCTTTTCCGAAATTTTCAAGATTTCTAGATCTACCATTTTTCGCACTTTCTAAATTTTTCCAGATTTTCCAAAATTTTTGGAATCCCTGGAATCTTTACAATCTGTAAGATTTATAAGACAATATTAGAGTGTTCAAGACCTCTAGTGCTTTTTATGATTTATAAAACATAAAGAAAATATTCAGATCTTTACGATTTTTAGATTTTTAGGATTTCTGTTTTCTTTAGAGTCTTTGGAATCTTAAAATCTTTGGATTTTTGGAATTTCTCTAGAACCTTTAGAATCTTTGAAATGTTTCAAACAGAATTTTTAAAATTCTTTTAACTTTTGAGTCTTTAGAATCTTTAAAGTCTTTAGACTTTTTAGAGCCTTTAAACTCGTTAGAGTCTTTAAACTTTGTAGACTCTTTAGACTTTGTAGAGCCTTTAGACTCTGTATATTTTTTGGTCTTAGTCTTTCAGAGTTCTCAGAGCCCTTAGAGTCTTTTCAATCTTCGGAAATTTTGGAAATTTTGGAAAATTTAGAATTACTAAATACTTTATAAAGTTTAGAATTTTTAAAATGTGTAGGGTCATAACTACACCAAGACCTTTGCAATAATTATTTTGTTGGATCTTTCTTCTATTTATAAAACTCTAGAACTTCAGTTTATTTAGAATCTTTAAAGTCTTTAGAATGTCTCGTGTCTTTAGAATCTCCACAATCTAAAGATTATGGAAACTTTCGAAATTTTGAAATTTTATAAATTTTAATTCTTTTAGATTTTTCACATTTTCCAAAAACCCAAAACCCAAAATGCCTAGAATTTCCAGATTTTCCAAAATTTCTAAAATTATCGGGCTTCAGTTATGCCAGAGTTTTGGAATTCAACCTTTTTCGAAATTTGCAAGACTAGGTCTACCATATTTTCCCATTTTCTAAATTTTTCAAATTTTCCAAAATTTTTGGAATCTCTGGAATCTTTACAATGTCTAACATTTATAAGATAATATTAGGATGCTCAAGACCTCTACTGCTTTTAGAATTTATAAAAATTAGAGAAAGCGTTCTTTAGATCTTTACAATTTTTAGAGTTTTAAGATTTTTGTTTTCTTTAGACTCTTTGGAATATTGAAAATCTTTACATTTTTGGAATTTGTCTAGAACCTTTAGAATTATGTTTAGAGCATTAGAACATTAGTGTATTTAGAATCTTTAAGGTCTTTAGAAAATCTCGAATCTTTAGAATTTTTGAAAGCTTTTAAACCTTTTGATCCCTTTCAGCCATTGGAAATTTTCGAGAATCTCGAGAATCTTAACAATCACTGAAATTCCTAAAATCTTTAGAACTTTCAGATTTTCATAATTTCTAGACACTTTAGTATTTCTAAAATTTGAAAAGTTTTTGAGATCCTTAGAACTTTTAGCACCTTTCCACTTTTTAAATATCTGGAATCTGTGGAATCTCGGCAATTTTTACAATCTTTGAAATCTCATTAGAATTTATGTTTGTAACCCATCGATTTGAGAATTTTGTACAAGGTTGTTCACCCCCTCCCCCCTTTAAATTCCAAATGTTTTCGCGAATCAATCACTACCTATTCGACATCAAATTCTCCTATCTATCGAATGATTACAAATTACACAGAAAATATGTCAACTATCTTTTTGTTGAAAATTTTTGTTGTAACAAAATAATCAACGTGAAGAAAAAATTTCGTAGCCCGCTTTTGTCTAAAAACACCCCGAACGGTATATAGATAGAAATTCTCTACCCACCAGCCTAGGCCCGGAAAAATTCGCGCCCGAAATGAACACCTTCCTCCGGGAGAGCTTTGCCGCTTTATCCGGACGAATCGAGAAAAGCGGATACCTTGACAAAAGAATTTCAGCGAAAGTTTCGTTTGACAACACCTATTATCCGAAAAGTTTTAAATTGAAAATTGACCTTTGAGTCGACTCGCTGCTGCTGATAGGCATTTAATTGAAAACCCCGATAACCCCGTCAAGGTATCTCCCCGATCGACAAATTTCCCACATTTCCTTCGTGAAAGCTCCCACTCGTGTCTCACAAGATTATAAGCCGGGAACTTCCTCAACGCATTTGCTGAATTGACTCGAAAAAGGAAAATATGTCTGCTGCGGATGATTTACGATTTGGAAAAAATTCGACGGAAATTCAATACTACGGTGGAACGCGTGAATGTTTCACGAAAAGTCTGCGCGGTTTTCAGTGTTAAAACGATGAAAGTGGACGAAGCTGGTTAAAGTTTCAATGGTTAGAATTAAGCGGAATGTTGACAATGTGCGAAGTTCTAGCTTTACGGAGAAGTTGGTTTTTATTCGACTTGAATTCGGAAGGAGATTCGCTTTGTAGTTTTATTAAAGTGACAAAGAGATATATCAAACGGAAACTGTTGTATTAATAATACCGTGGTGGCGAAACCATCTACTTACCGCACGTGTGCTTTTTGCGCGCTCTTACCTGCAAAAAAAACAAAAATTAATAATTCGTTCTTATATTCAAAGTTGTGGATGTATAAACTATCCTCAAGGACCTTCCATTGTATACCGAGACACTGACTTTTGTCATCAAAGGAATGTCCCCTTTGTGTGATAATACAAGGTGTCTCAAAAACAAAAAGGTTCGAGCTTTGTGAAGCACGAATACCCCTGAGAAATGATTTCTGCTTGATCTCTTGGAAGGAATCCCCACGTTACACGACACCTGGCTCAATAACAATAGGTGTCAGTATGCATGAAATGGTGTAAGATTTCTCCCCTGACGGATAAGATTAGAAGAGTAAGAATATTACATGACGTGACAGTTACAGATCCCTATTTCAGGCTAAGTAGGACTGCTTTAATTACTGATCCCCTGTATCGATCCTGTTTCTGTTATTAATAGTTCGGATATAGCGCACAATCAAACAGTTAGTAACCCGAAACTTGCAACCAATTTGGGTTATTATTTTCATATTTTTGGCTTAAAGGTTTTCACGCCGCCTTTTAACGCAATATTATCAGGAAAAGTCAATAAAAAGCACGTATCAATTCAATGTGAAATGTGGAAGTAGGGAATAAGGCAAAGCCAGCTTGCCTCTAATTGATCGATGTGGATCCGCCCCTTGACCTTTTCATCCACGAACTGGGATTTTAGGCGCCGCCCTTCTCACTAGAATATTTGAATAATTAGTTGCATACCTCTTTAAATGTGAGAAAGGGCGATTAATCCGTGGGGGATTTCAAACCTTCTTGCGAAATTAATTCGCGATGCATTATTTCCATCCTTCTCTCACACATTGTCTTTTTGTTTTGTTTGCCTCTCTCAATATGTATAATAAGGATATAAAATTATATATTATATATTGGTCAATAATTTATTGATATTTTTTAATTTGAATCAAAGGTTATTTTATCGTTACAGCTGCACAAAACATTAACGAGAGTTTTAATTTAGTTATACAAGGTGATTAAATATTATTTGCCAAAGTCAGTCTTATCTTATCAAGTACTAGCCCCGCCCACCCGCCCTCTCTTTTCTTAAAACCTATATCATTTGCCAAAATCAGTCTTGTCTTAATAAGTATCAACAGAAAGCTTTCGAATGTCAAAAATTGAAAAGAAACATAACAAAATTTCGAACCTCCATCTATAAAAATGATGGAGAATTTTCAGTTATGATCATTTTTACATAGAAATCCTTAACGTTAATACTCAAAAATATAGAAGCTGTTCCAATAATAACCCATAACTTCGGAGTACGTTGTTAAGAAGGCTACGAAAAACTCGAAAAAATAATTTAAAAATCCTTGAGCCAAATTTTTCTTAATTTAACTTTTAAACAGATAGTTAAATAATTAGCTATTAATAATTTAGTAATAATGTGTCAGAACACGATTTACAGCGTCATTTTTGATCGAAATTTTATTTTTCAAAATTTTGTTCGAACCATTTGTTTCTAGTTCTTAGCAACGTACCATTGCGCTTTTGCGTCATTTTTGGAACACATGTACAGTAAAACCTGTCTATGCGGGAATCGCGCGGGTCCAAAATTTTTATCCGTCTTAAACAGGGTTCCGGCTTTTACAGGAAACCCGGCTATGACGGACAGTAAACCTCTATAAAACGGAAAACAAATTTTATTAAATTGAATACATAGGTACATATAAAAGAATTATTTGAAATAGTTGTTTATTGTTATTTGCTTTTTCGGCCATTGAGATATATTTTCCATGCTTGTTCTCAACTGCAAAAGGTTGGCTAGACGCTCACCGCTTTGCCATTATTCTCTAATTTATTTTAGGAATATGTTTTATAATTTGATACACTTGCGTTTTTTGGAACCGAACTTTTGCAATTTCTTTAACACTCAAATTTTGCTGCAATTGTACATTAATTAAATCCATTTTGCTGTTATTGTTGGTCGTTTTTTGGGCCACTGCGAACACACATATAACCACGAGAGACACCAATTAAATGAGAATTGAGAACAGTGATTTCCTGTTGACAAAAAATTCACCTGCAGGTCCACGAATTGAATTGCATATTTTTCGTAGAAATCATCAATTTTGTTCTCGCTTCCGTTTTACACAGAGTTGTGTGCATGTATTTTGACACGTTGGGACTTACAAATATTTTCCGTTTCCGCGTTATGCAGTTTCCAGCTTATACGGACCAAAATACATTAAATTAGGTATTTGAAAAAACGGGACTGCGGAAAATTTCCGCGATGAGCAGTTTTCCGCCTTCTACAGAGTCCGGCATAGACAGGTTTCACTGTATAAGGTGTTAAGAGTATTTAGAATCTTTAGAGTCTTTAGACTCTTTAGTTTCTCTAGAGTCCTCACAGTTTTCAGAGTCCTTTGGAATTTTGGAAACTTTAGAATTGCTAGAAATTTTAGAATTCGTAGGATCATTACCTCCAAGATTTTCACAATTTTTATGATTTTGTTGGATCTTTCTTCTATTTAAAACAATAGAACTTCAGTATCTTTAGAACTTGCAATTTCTAGTGTATGGATTTCTGGATTCTTAATTTATGGGGGCTGACCGTAGCCAGCCGGCACTTAGGCCTCGCCTTTGGGCCCATTGTACCTTCCCCAAGTCCATATCAGGGTGTTTTCCCGCTCCTCTACTCGTCAAGCCATCCAACTGCTTGGATGTACCTGAGTAATGCAGAGGGTGGAAACTCCCTGATATTTGCCATACTAGGCCAGATGTCCCCTAGTATGGATTCCCTGTAGGAGGCTAGGGCTGGACACTCACGAAGAATGTGCTCAGCTGTTTCCTCTTCTTCATTGCATCCACGACAGATTGGGTCTGTTACTACCCCTATCGTATGTAGATGTTTGTTAAACTGGTAATGTCCCGTAAGGAATCCTACCAGTTTACGCAGTTTGTCCCTTGAAAGTGAGAGATAAAATTTTGTCAACTTACGGTCTGGTGTCGCCATACAAGCTCTACTATGCCGACAGCTGCTCAACGTCGCCCATATCTGCTCATGGCGTCTATGGGTATATTGCTTTACGAGTTCGTTCGAGAGGGCGACCGAAGGCGTGATTGCCGGTTCGGGTCCCCAGAAGGGCATGCGCGCGGCTCGCTTCGCCATCTCATCTGCCCTCTCGTTTCCTTCGTTGCCACTGTGTCCTTTGATCCAACAAAGTTCCACACTATTCCTCTGCGTTACATACTTTAGCGTTTGTCTGCACTCCCAAACCAGCCCGGATCGAACCATACAGCTGTCCAGGGCTAGTAGTGCAGACTTGCTGTCAGTAAGTATGCGTATTGATTTGTTGCCGATTTCACGTTCAGCAATGATTCTAGCTCCCAGCATTATTCCCATCAGTTCTGTTTGTAAGACAGACGTGTGGGTGCCGAGAGGTACACTGATTTGTGCGTTCAGTTGTTCGGAGTAGATGCCGGCTCCTGAACCACTATCTGTTTTGGCACCATCGACATAGATATCTATGTCGGCTCGTCCTTCTGAATTATCATTCATTGATATTCTATATGTCTTCTCATATATTAATTTTGTGCCCATTCGGTCACAACCCATCCTCAACAAGGGTATTCTGTTGAACGCCTCCGTTAAGATCCGAGTGTGCTTCGTTGTGCGGCCTTGCTTGTTCCATACTCCCAGAGAGTGAAGTCTTAGAGACGTCGTCATTGCCGCTTCCTCTATGTAAAGGTTAAGAGGTGCTAAGCAAAGGAGAGTCTCCAGAGCCGCTGTGGGAGTGGTCCTCATTGCTCCTGTAACACTGAGACACGCCATTCTCTGAACGTGTTCAAGTTGCAGGGCTGTTGTTTTTTGTCTGGCTCTGGGCCACCAAACTAAAGCTCCATAGCACAGCATCGGTCTGACTATTGCCGTGTAGATCCAGAGGGCGATCTTGGGATTTAAACCCCACGACCTTCCCACCACCCTACGACATTGCCAAAGAGCCGAGCGTGCCTTTTCTACTTTATCATCTACATGCTTCTTCCAATTCAGTCGCCAGTCCAATCTAGTGTATGGAAGCTTTAAGGTCTTTAGAACCTTTGAAAGCTTTGGAAGCTTTTAAATCTTTCACACCTTTGGACACCTTGTTGTCTTTAGAATCTCTACAATTTTGTGTAAACTTTCGAAATTTTGAAATTCTATAATTTTATATTTTTCGGAATTTTCATAATTTTGCAAAATTCTCTAAATTTCTAGAATTATCGGGCTCCAGTTATGCCAGAATTTTGAAATTCAACCTTTTCTGATATTTTCAAGATTACTAGGTCTACCATATTTTAACCACTTTCTAAATTTTTCCAAATTTTGCAAAAATTTTGGAATCCCTGGAATCTTTACAATAAGATAATATTAGAGTGTTCAAGACCTCTGGTGCTTTTAGGAGATATAAAAAATAAAGAAAACATTCTTCAGATGATTTTTAGAAGTTTAGGATTTTTGTTTTCTTTCTAGTCTTTGGAATCTTGAAAATCTGTAGATTTTTGGAATTTCTCTAGAACTTTTAGTATTTTTGAAATATTTCGAGCACAATGTAAAAACTTCTTTTAACTTTTGAGGCCTTAGAGTCTTTGGATTCTTTAGGATCCTTAAAGCCTTTAGACTTTTTAGAATCTTTAGACTTTTTAGACTCTTTAGAATCCAGAGCTTCTAAAGTCACTTCAATTTTTGGCAATGTTGGACACTTTAAAACCACTAGATTTTTATAAAGTTAAGAATTTTTACAATTTCTAGGATCTAGCTCCAAGTTCTACAAGATTTTTAAAATTTTGTTGAATTTTTCTTATATTTAAAACATTAGAACATTGTTTATCTTTAGTGTTTCCAATACATGGAATCTTTAAGGTCTTTAGAAAGTCTGGACTCTTTAGAATTTTTGAAAGCTTTGAAAGCTTCTACAAACTTAAGATTACGTGAACTTTCAAAATTTTGAAAATTTATCATTTTTTTAATTTTTTTAATTTTGCGGAATTTTCGTAATTTGCAAAATTTTCAAAATTTCTAGAATTATCAGACGTTTCAGATTTTCAGAAAACACAAAATGCCCCAGATTTTCCAAACTTTTTAAAATCATCGAGCTCCAGTTATGCCGGAATTTTGAAATTCAAACTTTTGTGGAATCTTCAAGATTTCTAGTTCTACCATATTTAAACCACTTTCTAAATTTTTCCAGATTTTCCAAAATTTTTGGAATCTCTGGACTCATTACAATGTCGAAGATTTATACAAATCAAAGAAAACATTCTTCAGATCTTTGGAATTTCTCTAGAACATTTAGAAGCTTTGAAAAATTTCAAAAAGAATTTTAAAAATTCTTTTAATTTTTGAGTGCTTAGAGTCCTTAGAGTTTTTAGAATCTGTAAAGCCTTTAGACTCTTTAGAATCTTTAAACTCTCTAGACTCTTCAGACTCTCTGTAGTACACTTTAAAATTACTATTTAGAATTTTTACATTTTCTAGGATCTAGCTTCAGGTTTTTTAAAATTTTTAAGATTTTGTTGGATTTTTCTTATATTTAGAACATTAGAACGTTGTTTTTTGAGAATCTTTGATGCCTCTACAATTCTCAAGTTTCTAATGCATGAAATATTTAAGGTCTTTAGAAAGTCTAGAATCTTTGAAAATTTTAAATCTTCGTAATCTTTAGAACCTCTACAAACTTAAGCTTGAGTAAACTTTAAAAAATTTGAAATTTTACAATTTCTGTTTTTTTTAATTTCTCGGAATTCTCATAATTTGTTAAATTTTCACAATTTCTAGAATTACCAGGTTCCAGAATTTCCAAAAAGACAAAAATTCCAGAATTTCCTGATTTTCTAAAATTTCTAAAATAATCGGCCTCCAGTTCTGCCAGATTATGAAATTCAACCTTTTCCGAAATTTTCAAAATTTCTAGGTCCACCGCATTTTCCCACGTTCTAAATTTTCTCAAATTTTCCAAAATTTTTGGAATCTCTGGAATCTTTGCAACGTCTAAGACTCGTAAGAAAATATTATGGTGTTCAAGACCTCTAGTGCTTTTAGGATTTCTTAAAATTGTTTAAAATTTCGAAATTTTGCATTTTCTAATTTTTGATATTTTTGATTTTTCGAAATATTCATAATTTGTAAAATGTTCAAAACTTCTAGAACTGACAGACTTCAAAATCGCTAGAACTGACAAACTTCAGATTTTCCAAAAACACAAAATGCACGGAATTTCCAAATTTTCCAAAATTTCTAAAATTATCGGGATCCAGTTCTGCCAAAATTTTGAAATTCGAACTTTTCCGAAATTTTCAAGATTTCTAGATCAACACATTTTTCCCAATTTCTAAATATTTCCAGATTTTCCAAAATTTTTGGTATCTCTGGAGTCTTTACAACATCAAAGATTCATACAAAAATATTAGGGTGTTCAGGTCTTCTAGTGCTTTTAGGATTTCTTAAAATTGTGTGAAATTTCGAAATTTTGAAATATTCTAATTTTTGATATTTTTCATTTTTCGGAATCTTCATAATTTGCAAAATGTTCAAAATTTCTAGAACTGACAGACTTCAGATTTTCCAAAAACACAAAATGCCCAGAATTTTCAGATTTTTAAAAAATTTCTAAAACTATCGGGCTCTAGTTATTCCAGAATTTTGAAATTCAAACTTTTCCGAAATTTTCAAGATTTCTAGGTCAACCACATTTTTCCCAATTTCTAAATTTTTCCAGATTTTCCAAAATTTCTAAAATTATCGGGCTCCAGTTATGCCAAAATTTTGAACTTCAAACTTGTCCGAAATTTTCAAGATTTCTAGGTTTCCCAATTTCTAAATTTTTCCAGATATTCCAAAATTTTTGGAATCTCTATAATCTTTACAACGTCCAAGATTCATAAGAAAATATTAGTGAGTTCAAGACCTCTAGTGCTTTCAGGATTTCTTAAAATTGCTTAAAATTTCGAAAATTTGAATTTTTTTAATTTTTGATATTTTTGATTTTTCGGAATTTTCATAATTTGCAAAATGTTCGAAATTTCTAGAACTGACAGACTTTTCAGATTTTCCAAAGACACAAAATGCACAGAATTTACAGATTTTCCAAAATTTCTAAAATAATCGAACTTCAACAATGCGAGAATTTGAAATTTAATCTTTTCCAGAATTTTTAAGATGTCTGGACTCTGGTACCACATTCTTTCCAGTTTCCAACTTTTCCAGATTTTCCATTTTTTTTTATTTTCTGGAATCTTTACAATTCTTCAGATCTTTACAATTTTTAGATTTTTAGGATTTTTGTTTTTTTTTAGAGTCTTTAATGTCTACAATTGGCAATTTCTAGTGTATGGAATCTTTAAGATCTGTAAATGTTTCCAGTCTTTAGAATCTTTGAAATCTTTCAAACCTTTAGAAATTCCCTAATTTAGAATCTCTACAAACTTAAGATTGTGTAAATTTTCGAAATTTTTAAATTTCATAATTTTTATTTTTTTTTTATTTCTAGAATCAACAGGATTTTTGAGATTTTCCAAAAATACAAAACACCCAGAATTTCCAGACTTTCCAAAATTTCTAAAATTATCGGGCTTCAGTTATGACAGAATTCTGAAATTCAACCTTTTCTTAAATTTTCAAGATACCATATTTTACCCACTTTCTAAATTTTTCCAGATTTTCGAAACATTTTTTAATCTCTGGAATCTTTCCAATGTGTAAGATTTATAAGATAATATTTGGGTGTACAAGACCTCTAGTGCTTTTAGAACTTATAAAAAATAAAGAAAACATTCTTCAGATTTTTACGATTTTTCATATTTTTAGGATTTTTGTTTTCTTTGGAGTCTTTAGAATCTTTGAAATATTTAAAACAAAATTTTAAAAATCTTTTCAACCTTTGAGTACTTAAGATCCTTACAGTCTTTGGAATCTTCAAAGTCTTCAGACTCTTCAGAGCCTTCAGACTCTAGGAGTTTTTGGAATCTTGAAAATCTATGCATTTTTGGAATTTCTCTAGAACGTTTAGAATCTTTGAAGTACTTCAAACAAAATTTTAAAAATCCTTTTAACTTTTGAGTCCTTAAGATTCTTAGAATCTTTAAAATCTTTATTAGACACTTTATACTCTTTACAAACCAAATTTTCAGATATGATCAATTTTACATATAGAAATGTAGAAATACTTAACATGTGATTTAAAAATATCGTGTAGGTGGTAGAGCTCTGACCAAAATTTGTCTAGTCATCCCCACCAATAATTTGATGACGTCCCCTCATCATTTTGGTTAGTAAAACTTATCTAAATTTTAAAATAATGTGCTCCTGTAGTCGTGGTTTATTAATCCGCCTTGAATTTTATCACAATTATTTTACAAACATTTTTGTGTGCCGCCTGTGTGGGTTCAGATCCCATCCTTATCCAATGAATTTTGTTTACACTGTAACTGGTATTTATTATCTACAATTATTTTACTTATAGGGGTTATCACAAAATAAATAAAATTTTACAAAATCATATTTCATAATTTTTCGAAAAACTGGATTTCTACGTATTTCTAAGTATTTAAAGGGCGCGGAAAGTTTTGTCTAAGTAAATTTAGATCTGTTTTTGTCATCTCCAGTAGATTCTAACGAGTGTTTTCTTTCCAGTGGCCTTTTTATCTTTGAATTTTTTAACATTACTTCGTTTATTTTCCCTAACTTTTTCCAATTACATGTTATAATATTTTTTCGAAGTTTTTTCTTCTGTAATTTGTCGTTCTCAACACGAATAAAACAAAACAAATGTGGAACTTTATTTTACTTGCGCAAAGTTTTCTTTAGTTATTCCTCAGGGTGCTACAATATTGTTAAATTAGTTTGATGTTTACTCAATTTACTCCTTGCCAGAAAATAGCAAAGTTTTTCCTTTTTCATTTTTCAAGATAATAACTATGTAATGATGTTTAAAATTTTCCTTCCCATATTTTCATCTCAGTTATTGTGTCAAATTTAGATAAAATTATCAATCCCAAAATGTTTGCTACGTCTTTATCTTTATCATGC